CATGTGTGTGCTTTCTTGGGAGTGATTATACTTATTTCAAATGTGTGCTAACCTAGATGCACAAAACCAATGGACACGGCTGCTTAAGGCAAATATAAAGCTTTTACTAAAAAGGTTATGAAGCCAGTCAATGAAAGAAAAATACCACATGATCTCACTCATTTATGGATAATTAAGATCATTATAAACTGATGAACAAAAATAGATAGGCAGAGCAACATCGAACAGACTGTCAAACAACAGCAGGAAGGCTGGGGAGGGTTGGGGAGGGGGAGATCAGAGATCAACCGAAGGACTTGTATGCATGCATATAAGCCTAACCAATGGACACAAGACACTGGGAGGGGTGTGAGGGCATGTGACAGGGGGTAGGGGAGCCTGGGGGAAGGTCAATTGGGAAAAAAAAGGAGACATGTACTACTATTTGTAATACTTTAAACAATAAAAAAAGGAAAAGAGTAAATATGCAGAAAAAAAGAATTTTATATCCAGCAAAACTGTCTTTCAAAAATGAAGAAAAAATCACAACATTACTATTTAAACAAAAGCTGAAGGAGTGTGTTGCTAGTAGACCTGTTCTACAAGGAATGGTAAAGATACCTCTCTAGGTTGAAATGTAACTAGATAGTAACTTAAACTATATGAAGGAATAAAGAACACTGATAAGAGTAATTATATAGGTAAATATAAAAGCCAGTATTATTGTATTTTGGGTTTGTAACTTTTTTCCTACATGGTTTAAAATATAAATGCATAAAACAATAGTTATAGATTAATGGGCACACAATTATAAAGATGTATTTTGTGACAACAAAAACAAAGGTGGGGATGGAGCTGTCTAGGAACAGAATCTATACATATAAAAGCCCAGCGACCATTAAGGCGGAACGACTGGAATGACCAGAATGACTGGTTGCTATGATGCACATTGACCACCAGGGAGCAGACGCTCAATGCAGGAGCTGCCCCATGGTGGTCAGTGCACTCCCACAGCAGGAGTGCTGCTCAGCCAGAAGCCGGGCTCACAACTGGTGAGCACAGCGGTGTTGTAAGGAGCGAGCCGGCATGAGTAAAGGAGTGAGCAGATGGGTGGTTAGAAGCAAGAGGTTCTGGATTGTGAGAGGGATGTCCCACTGCCCGATTGGGCCTAAACTGGCAGTCAGACATCCCTGAGGGGTTCCGGATTATGAAAGGGCACAGACCAGGCTGAGGAACCTCCCCAACAGCCCCCCATGCACAAATTTCATGCATTGGTTCTTTAGTTGTTATATATTATTGAAGCTAAGATTGTATTAATTTCAAATAGATTGGTTATAAATTTAAGAGGTTAATTGTAGTCCTGAGGGTAATCACCAAAAAATATACATATATACAGAAAAACAAATGAGAAAGGAATGAAATGATATAATACCAAACAAAAAAAAAATCAAACACAAAAGAAAGCCATATGGAGGAACTGAGGCACTGAAGATGTGACATA